CAAATGGTAAGAGGTAATGAATGTGTATGGAAATTAAATGTGGTGAAAATTTTTCAGAACTTCTAGATGATATTGCTCGATATGGTTCTGGCTGGGGGACGGAAGGTAATAGAGATCACTCCATTGCAAGAAGTTTTTGAGTATCGTGATATTTATAGGTTCTGGCGTTGTTCCATGTGAAGACATGAACTGTCCTCCGGGCTCAGTTTGTGAACTCGGAACAATAATATGCCCCTTTGAGCCACCTTGTTTCACTTTTCCCACCAGATGTGTGCCATACCAAGGTAATTAGGTAGTCTCTGTTTCGTGTGTACTTTCTGAAAATGTTTCACATAGCTCCGTGCGGCATATCGTTTATGTTCAAAGGTGGTGAATTTTCGGGATCAGGTGAAGAAGAGGGCTCGGGATCAGGCTCAGGTATGTTAGGTATGACGAAATTTCTAACTTGTTGTCAGTTAAACTAATCTAGGAGAATGTCCTGTGGGATTGGAGAGCGCTAAATGTGGAAATGTTTGCTTTGAAGACTGCGAAATTGTGAGTTTCCGCCTGATGAACTAAACTGGATATTGTGCCGCCGCTTTTATCTGAAATTGGAATAAGATGAAAGCTGTAGACATCACACTATAAAACAAAACAACGACACCCCTCCTTGATGGATTTACATTAAGATGTGTGATAATTTGGATGTGACTGCATTCAGAGCAGGAGCCATGATGACGCAAACAACGTCGCTTCTCCCATGGGAGTTGATGCGAATTTTATAATATAGCATCTTTTGAGAGATTTAACTTTATTGCAACGCTTTCTTTCCAAAACTGCTTAGAGTGCTTTGATTGCGTTAGAAAAATTACAAGGCGTCCTAGATTGTTTTGTACCTTCTGTAGCAATCTGCCACCTCGACCTCTTTTGCCAACCAACCAGCGGACCAGCCAGTCTAAGCTCCACCATTCAAAGATCTAATGATTTTGAACAAGGGCGGAGCGGTGCAACAAGGGCTCATCCCCTCAAAACTTGAAGGAAGACGTTGAAACAACAAAGTGGAAAAAGCGAAACTATTTTGTCTAAGAAAATGGGTACATATAAAGCCTGAAATTACTCAAAAAGTTTTCCATCTTTCCCTCAAACCTCCATAATTTGCTTGGTAAGATATAATATAGAGTGGTTCGCTGTATTTCTTGAAGATTACATATGCTAATAATGCAGGAGCATAGC